GTCTGTAGGACTACCTGTGTTGTTATGTGGTTATTTGTATGTGCATTAGTTATGATATATGTTGACATATTATGTGGGATGATTTGAGGTGATACTGCTCCGTGCGGTAATCCAACAAACCCGGGAGTATTCCAGTTACGGGCTGAGGGAGACTCGTACTGTGGGCTCGATGGCAATCCAGATGTGAGCTGTGGGGCCGGAAGGCAATCCAGACTCACACTGTGGGCCCAAGGGTAATTCAGTCTGTAGAGCTGTAGACCCAGTACATGCTGTTATCTGTATGTGTGTTATGTGCAGTGTATCGGTATTTTGGGGGAACTCACTAAGCTTTGAGCTTACAGTTTCAGTTTTGGTTTCAGGTACCTCAGATGACCGTGGGAAGACAAAAGCGTGATCGTACAGCTCCTCACTTTTTATGACTATGTTTCTGGGATACTCTGATATAGAACTGTTTTGAAAACAAGTTGGTAATAACTGTTGGTTTTCTAAATGTTTTAAAAAGTTTAAATTTGGCCTGATTTTTATGGTTGTTACAAACTAGGCCAAGCTTGGCGCTAGTTTGACTTTTCTTCTTTAACATTTTTCCTCAGGGATATGTTAACAATAATAATTCAATAAATTTTCAAATTTGACTCCAATAATCTTATAAGCAATACTATCATTATTATTTAATTAACTAAATTTTATTTCATTTAGTTAATTAACTTTTCTTTTTTTACTACAATAGCAAAAAAAAAAAAACATTTCTAGGTCTAAATAAGGGTGTTACATTGTCCTTGTGCTTTGATATCTGAATTTACGAAATCTATGTTATTATACGATGAGTTGACTTCCCTAGTGTACTAGTTTTAGTTAATTATTTTTAAATTTTGACATCACCGTTTATATACTAATATTGTACATCAATATTATTGTTTGTAGAGTTTTGATATATACTTTTCATAAATAAAAAAAACTATTTCAAAACTAAGTTTTGAAGATGATGTTTATTTTAACTTCTCAAAAGGATGGTCGAATTGTTATATTTAGGGCTGTAAACGAATTGAACGTTCGGCGAACCGTTCGTGAACTGTTCGGCGGGAAGTTCGTTTATGTTCGTTTATTTAATAAATGAACGAACATGAACACAAATTCTCGTTCGTTTACTTAAACGAACGAACATGAACAATGGTCTCGTTCGTTCATTTACGTCCGTGAACGTTCGTTTATGTTCGTTCGTTTAAGTTTTTTTTATGTTCATATATTTTCAATTGTTTTTTTTATTACATTTCTATATTATAGTTCGTTTATGTTCATATATGTTCATTTGTGTTTGTTTATCTTTGTTCGTTTAGCATGTTCATGAACATAAACGAACGAACATGAACAAGACAATTTGTTAAACGAACGAACATGAACAAGAAAACTCCGTTCGTTTATCCGTTTGTGTTCGTTCGATTGTTCGGCTAACTTAAACGAACGAACATGAACAAACCTTTCTTCGTGTTCGTTCGGTTCGTTTACAGCCCTAGTTATATTATATGCAATTAGAGAACGTGTTTATTTTGGTGAATATCCCAAAAAAAAATCCCCTCCATTTATATACACCAAAGTTGAAACTGACGTTTTCTGTATTGGATAGTATCGAAGTGCACTCTTTCAAAATGGAACTAAATACTTAGCATTTGGCCCGCCAAAGTACTAATCAGTCGATTGATCCACCCAAAGTTTTCAAATTAAGTATTGTCATCGATTGTTTTCACTTAGAAATTTAGATTCATGACTGAGCAGAATTTTATTGTTTTGTATTTGTGATTTTCGATTCTGTATGGTGTGATTCTGTTGCAATTTACAGGAAAAATGACGCAAGATGCTGGAATGAAAGAGCAACAGGTTCCGGCGTCGCCTTCTAGCTCTCTTTCATCTATGTCTCACAGCATTTTACAGCGTAAGAATCTCTGTAATTTTGATTCCGATGATTGTTTTGTTTGATTATACAGTTCGTTTCTAGATGAACATAGTGAAGTTCAATAAGAAGATTACGAAGCCAACAAGTTTCCGCCACAGCATTAGCAACACCCCGATATTCAGCTTCGGCACTGGACTGCGAAGTCGTGTTCTGACGTTTGGATGACCAAGAGAAAAGATTGTGTCCTAAAAAGACACAGTAACCCGATGTAGATCGACGCATGACAGGGCACCCACCCCAGTCAGCATCAGAATAGGCAGTAAGCGAGCGACTGGGAAAGGTAAATAACTAAAGACCATGAGATGTGGTACCTTTAATATAGCGCAGGATGCGCTTAAGAGTAGTAAAATGAGGTTCCCGCGGGTCATACATGTATAAACAAATCTGATGAACCGCATAAGTGATATCAGGTCGAGTGAATGTCAAATATTGTAACGCGCCTGCCAAACTGCGATATAAGGTAGGATCAGCAACAGGAGTACCAGTGCCATCAAGCTTAGATGATAAGTCAGCCGGAGTAAATGCAAATTTACAGTTGATCATGGAAGCCCTGTCAAGAATCTCAATAGCATATTGTTGCTGAGATAAAAACAACCCATCAGCCGAGCGAGTGGCCGAGATGCCCAAAAAATAGTGGAGATCCCCAAGATCCGAATAGAAAACTCAGTGCTCAATAGAGAAGTAATGTGAGACAGAAGCTAAGTCGATGAGCCTGTAAGGACAATATCATCCACATATAGTAACATATATGCCACGTGAGTACCATGTCGATAAATAAATAAAGAGGAGTCACATCTGTTGTGAACAAAACCAATGCTATAAATAAAGGTGGCAAACCGTTGAAACCACGCACGCGGTGCTTGCTTGAGACCATATAAGGACCGCTGAAGTAGACAAACATAGTCAGGACGAGAGGGATCACGAAAACCCGGAGGCTGATGCATATAGACTGTTTCTTAAAGATTACCATGTAGGAACGCATATTTAACATCAAGTTGTCGAATAGGCCACTGATGCGTAACAGCAATACTAAGAACTGTACGGATGGTAGCAGGCTTGACCACCGGACTAAAAGTCTCGTCACAATCAATACCAGGTCGCTGACTACGACCATTAGCTACAAGACGCGCTTTATAGCGTGATAAGGAGCCATCTGCATTGAGTTTTCTTCTTGAATAACCAAATACAATTAACAATGTTAGCATCAGGTGGTCTTGGAATAAGTACCCAAGTCTGATTAGAGATAAGTGCAGTATATTCATCTGTCATGGCATTAAGCCAATTTGGATCCTTAAAAGCCTGTAAATAATTTTTGGGGACAGGAGAGGAGGTATCAACATGTAAATTTAATTTACGGATGGGTTTAAAAATACCCTGTTGCTACGAATGAGCATTGGGTGTGAAGGAGGAGGTATAGGAGAGGGACTGTTATTGGAGATGGTATATGACTGTGAGGTGGGTTCCGAAGGAGGAGAGGTAGGTGGTGAAGAAGGACCAGGTGTGGGGGTGGCATGAGGAACAGTTGAGGGCGAGAGAGGAGTGTGAGGAGTGGGCAGAGGAGTCGGTATAGGACCGGGAGTAGTACTAACATTCTCAGTTGATGTATTCTGAGGATGAGAAAGGTATGGAGTTAAGGTAGTAGATAGAGGATGGGAAGATGAAGGATCCTCCAAAAAAGTGTAAGAAGGAGCTTGGTTAGGTGTCATCGAACCAAAAGGAAGGATGGTTTCATCAAAGACAACATGACGGGAGATGATGATCTTATTGGTGTCAAGGTTAAGACAACGGTATCCTCTATGATGGATAGGATACCCAAGAAAGATGCATGGAGTTGAGCGCGAGTCAATTTTATGAGAGGCATTGATATGAGGATAACAAAGACATCCAAATACACAAAGGTGATCATAGGAGGGGTGCTTATTATATAGTTTATAGAACGGAGTGACATTGTGGAGAGTAGTAGAAGGAAGGATATTAAGGAGATGAGCAGCCATATGGAGGGCTTCAGTCCAGAATGTGGGAAGAAGCCGAGCATGGAACAAAAGAGTACGACTGGTATTATTTAAGGTGCGTAGCATGCGTTCGGCTTTTCCGTTTTGTTGAGAGGTGTAAGGACATGAAAAACGAAAACGAATGCCGTTTTGAGAAAAAAGGGTGTAAATTTTATGATTGTCGTACTCACTACCATTGTCACATTGAAAAGACTTTATGGTTGTTTGAAAATGGTTATGAACAAAATTTTTAAATTGCACGAATTTGTGAAACACATCAGATTTGGAACGGATAGGATAAACCCAAACATAATGAGAAAAATCATCTAAAAAAATAACATAATATTTAATACCACTCAAACTGTCAATGGGAGATGTCCATACATCAGAATGAATTAATTCAAACGGAAACTGAGAAACAGAACTAGAAGCGCTAAATGGTAATTTGACTTGTTTACCCAATTGACATGCATGACACAAAGTCGAGTCTTTATTAGGAGAACATGAAATAAAACGATTCTGAACCAGGTGCTTCATGACATGTTGACCAGGATGACCAAGACGTTGATGCCAAACAGACGGAGCAAGGGAGACGAAAGCTTGAGAATTTGAAGAAGTGACAGGATAAAGAGCCCCAGTGCTATCACATCGGATGAGAATTTGTTTGGTGCGAAAATCCTTCACAACAAACCCAAAAGAGTCAAATTCAATAGAACAATTATTTTCACGTACAAAACGACGAACATAAATCAGATTTTTAATAATAGAAGGAGTAATTAAAACGTTTCGAAGAGTTAAAGTGCGATAGGGATTGGGAAGCGGAAGGGTAGTGTGTCCCATTTTTGTTACAGGTATGAAGGATCCATCACCAACTAAGACAAATGAAAAATTACTGGATTTATCTGAAACAGACTTAAGTATACCTGCATTCGAGTGAAGATGTGAGGTAGCCCCAGTGTCCATGTACCAATCGGCTTGCCCCGGGTCGTTCAACGTCATGGTATTAAACATTTGCGGAAGAGGAGTGGGCTCCGAATATTGGGTTTGAGTGGAATAGGCCTGTGGTTGAGAAGATAACTGTTGGGCCGGCGAAAAAAATTGATGCTGTTGATTTGTATTCGAATGGGCTGGCTGAGATCGTGGCCCACTTGTGTGAGGGAAATGATCATTTGGGCTTGGCAATATTCCATGGGAGTTGGGTCCATTAGTAAAGTGGGGAGTGTAGGTCCAGACCCAAGTTCCTTGACGAGGACGCTGATTATCGAAGGGAAAGGTACTGCCGCCGAGAGCTTGATTCGCACTAGAGAGAGTGTGATTCCGGCCACCGCCATGAGACTGCCCACCGCCATTGCTTCTCCCGCCGAAGCGTCCTCCACCTCGGCCACCACGGCGGCCATTGCGACCCCCACGGTAGCCACCCCTGCCACCGGTGTTGTTCTGCTGCCATGAAGAAGGGTTGTTTGAGGAGGTCTGCACAGTTAGGGCATGGGGGGATGACGAATTGTCGGCATGAGTGATTACAGAATCACGTTTTTCATCTTGAATCATTTGTTGTTCTTCACATAATAGGATGGATCTAGCATCCCAGAACGATGGAGGTGGTTCACGGTGTCGGAGGTTAATTGCGATATACCGGAACTTGGAAGACATGCCATTAACCATGTATGCGACAAGGTTAGTTTCAGAAACTTTAGCATCCATGTGTTCTAATTGATCAACAATAGATTTGATTCTGTTACAGTAATCTGTGATGGAAGAATTACCAAGAGAGATGTTTTTGAGTTCTCGATCTAACTGAATGATCTTGGATGCTTTGTTATCACGAAAAACCCTTTCAAGATTTTCCCAAACTTCATAGGTTGTTGCCTGCTTCTTGAAAATCATGTTGAGAAGAGGTACGGAGAGTGTACCATATAACCATGATCTCACGATGGAGTCCACACGAAGCCAAGAAGTTTTCGCAGCAGAAGATGCTTCAGCAGTTTTCTCTTTATCTTTATCGCCTGATGCAGTGACAGGAGGCTGAAGATGGTCATCTACACCATACCCAATACAGTGATGTTCAAATAATCCTCTCCAAATGTCATAGTTCATCTGATCCAAGTCCAGAACAAAGGGAACTGCGTGCTTGATATTGATTGTTGATGAAGGCTTGTCATTCATGGGTAGAGACAAGATGAGGAGAAGAAGAAACGAAGACAGATAGAGAAAGAATGAAGATGAGAGATCAAACAGTCAACAAGGAATGAGATGTCGACTTAGGGTTGAAGGGTAATAAGGTAATACGCTCTGATACCATGTTATTGATAGAATTTCCCGTAACCCTCTCTCATTCAATGAAACAATATATATATACAAAGTGTACATAGGTATAGAAAATGGGCCACAGCACACATGGGCTGGCCATAATAATGAAACATAAATAAACTAATAAGGCTACGTTAACAATATTCAGAAGCAAAAGGGCAAAAGGACGTTGATGTTTCGTTTGCGATTTCATTTGATACAGAGCCACCGTTCTCCTTGTATGTTTCCCCAAGGTTGTTTCGGTGAACAAGCACATAACGGCGATGGGTTTGGGTAGCTCAACTCTAGGCAGCGATTGACCTGGAGGTTCTCCAGGGTTGTGTGAACGGGATCTTGATGCCAAATCCATAGTTGGGAAGATTAAAAATTGAGAGAGAGAGAGAGAGAGAGAGAGAGAGAGAGTAAATATTAAATTTTTTAAAAAAATGAAAGAAAAATGAAAATTAAATATCCCAAGGGTATTATAGTCATTTCAATTTTCGGAGGCACTATTTTCACATACAAACTAGTCCAAAAGGACCACGAAGCCAAAAAAAGTCGTGGTTTGGACTAAAACCCCAAAAAAATGCATACCATAGGGACCATTTTTGCAATTTTGTCAAAAAAAACTATTTCAAAACTAAGTTTTGAAGATAATGTTTATTTTAAAAACTTCTCAAAAGGATGGTCGGATTGTTATCTGCAATGAGAGAAAGTGTTTATTTTGGTGAATATCCCAAAAAAAAATCCACTCCATTTATATACACCAAAGTTGTATGGACTGAACCTGATAGCTTGTTATACTAAGAGGGTTGAAACTGACGTTTTCTGTATTGGATAGTATCTAAGTGCACTATTTCAAAATGGAACTAAATACTTAAAACATTTGGCCCGCCAAAGTACTATTCAGTCGATTGATCCATCCAAAGTTTTCAAATTAAGCATTGTCATCGATTGTTTTCACTTAGAAATTTAGATTCATGACTGAACAGAATTTTATTGTTTTGTATTTGTGATTGTCGATTCTGTATGGTGTGATTCTGTTGCAATTTACAGGAAAAATGACGCAAGATGCTGGAATGAAAGAGCAACAGGTTCCGGCGTCGCCTTCTAGCTCTCTTTCATCTATGTCTCATGGCATTTTACAGCGTAAGAATCTCTGTAATTTTGATTCCGATGATTGTTTTGTTTGATTATACAGTTCGTTTCTAGATGAACTTGATTTAATTTCTTTGTTGCGGAACAATTGATGTTATAAAATGTGTGCGTTTACTCTACCAACATCGTTTGTTTTATTTACTGATTAGAGTTGAAATTTCGAATTCTTCATGGAAATCATGTGAAAATTGGCTTTCAGATTTTAAAAAAAGAGTTGTTGAACTGATTGAGAGCGGAGCTTACACTGGTAAAGTTCGTTGGATTTGAGAGCCGTTAGCATTACAATCGCGTTAAGATGGCGGTTAAAAGTTTCTGTGATCTATCCGTTCCTTAATTTTGCCCTTACACCTGGATCGGAAGCACACTCTCGTTTAATTTCATCTCTTCCAAAGGTAGGTTACTTTTTGGCTTTGTGAATCTCGATGTTTAATAAACTTCCATTCAATTAGTCATCTATTCTAGCGTTAATGATGTAGCAAACGTGGAAAAAGCTAGGAGGCACATAATTAAGCATCTCTTTCGTGAATTTCCTTGACACTATGTTATATATTTGCAATGTACAGCCCATAGTAATGTGGAACTTGATTTCAAATACTTGTTGGTGAAATTGAAAACAAAATGATCTAAATGACATAAACATTTTCATTTGGTTTGATATATTATAGGATGACGCTCATGAGATGGAAGTTGATACTGCATCATCTGCAACTCAAGGTACTGTTAATCACTCCCATGAGATGGAGATCTACTGCTACTTCTTTGTGCTGATATTCCTAATTGATCAGAAAAAGTACACTGAGGTGAGCATATATGTTTAGATTACTTCATCTTGGCAATTGGTCAATTGGTCAACTCACCTTCATATTATGCAGGCTAAGGCTTGTTCTTCAGCAGGCATTGCCAGTTTGAAAAACATGAACAGAAGAACAGTTGATGTTCTGGCATCCAGACTCTACTTCTATTACTCTCTTTGTCATGAACTTAGCAACAGTCTCTCTGAAATTCGTGGGTGAGTGACAAAAGGGTTATGTTTTTCAATTATCAACTAGATTGTGATCACTTTTTCTTTATCAATTTATCCGACTTGATTAAGATGATGATGATGATGTTTACATGCAGTAATCTCCTTGTTTTGCACCGGGTTGCTAGGTTGCATCATGATGAATTGGGGCAGGTTTGTTTCTCAATTTTGTTACTGTGACTAGCTATCATTATTATTAGTTTATTTATCTGTTATTGTTATTTGTATTATTAGTAATATTATTATAATCAATGTTTCTGGTGAATCATTTTGTGTTGTGTGATGTGCAGGAAAGACTCCTAAACTTGATACTTCACAATTACCTTCATTACAATTTGTATGATCAAGCAGAGAAGTTTAGATCAAAGGCACCACCTTTTTAAGGTCATTCAAATCGCCAGGTAATTCTTCATTTGATAAATCATCAATTCATCCTTTCAAAGGTTCCATTTGCTAAAAGGTTTGATGTTTGCTTCATATGGAGGGTTCGATATTTGATATACAGGAGCATTTCATTATTTTATATTCGATATTTGTATTTTTTTACAGTTTTGTCGTTACCTGTTTTACCTGGGTAAAATTAGAACGATTCAACTAGAATACACAGATGCAAAGGAATCTCTTCTCCAAGCTGCCCGAAAAGCCCCTGTGGAGAGATCCCTTGGTTTCCGAGTTCAATGCAACAAGTGGGCCATCATTGTTCGTCTACTTCTTGGAGAGATTCCTGAACGAAATGTTTTTACGCAAAAAGGCATGAAGAATGCATTGAGGCCTTACTTTGACCTCACAAATGTAAGTTCACTTCACTTTAACAAACCCCAGTTCAGTTGTAACTAACTAACTAACTATCCCAATTCTGACTTTTGACTTTGACTTTGAATGGTAAAATCCATAAAGCATGGAAATTGACAAAGCTAGATTTGTTCATTTGGGAACCGAACATGTCATGGAACGGAATCTCGAATTCCAAATCCCGCGAACCAAACATGCCATTGCATTCCATGGAATCTCTAATTCCTTCCTTTCTTTCTCAGGCGGTTAGAATTGGAGCTCTGGACCTATTGAAAACTGTCGCCGAGAAATTCTCCACCACTTTCACCTCCGACCGAACCAACAACTTAATCGTAAGACTCCGCCACAACGTCATAAGAAACAGACTCCGCCACATCAGCATCTCTCTTGCTGACGTGGCAACCAAGCTCCGACTGAATCCATTAATTGCTGATGTGGAGAGCATCGTGTCAAAAGCCATCCGTGATGGTGCCATCGATGCCATGTTGGATCATTCAAACGGATGGATGGTTTCTAAGGAAACAAGAGACATCTATTCAACAAACGAACCACAAATTGCTTTCAATTCTAGAATTGCCTTCTGCTTGAATATGCATAATCAGGCTGTACGTGCCCTTCGCTTCCCGCCAAATTATCATAAGGAGCAACAGGTCGATAGCGATAGCGATACATCCGAGGAAGAATATGATGACGAATGTTGATTTGCTTGTAATACTCCATCTCAACTTTCTACTTTTACACTAAAAACTAAAACTAAATGTGAACTGATATGATAGAACATGAATTGAATGATTGAACTGGAAAAAGGAAAAGATTAGTTCAAGGATATACTAACCTAGGCTACTAGCATTGACCTAACTGATATAACAGAAAATGACCTTATTGCCCTCACTAACTTTACTTTAGCCGCAACCGAAAGAAATACACCCAAGACTCTACTTAGAAGAGTAACATCTTTTCTTATTAGAATATATGTTTTACCGATTAACATATTTTATATTTAGATAATATTGTTATAACTAGAAAAAAAAACATTGCTATAATTAGAAAAATTTTCAAAAAGACAATGCTATAGTAAATAAATAAATGAAAGTAGGTTGTTGTTTTCCAACATGTTTAAAACTTAAAATTGTATTCTTAGAGGTCTTATGTTTTCTCTATGATGTTGAACTTCTTACTACAATGTTGAACTTGCAACTTTTTTTCTTATTAAGGTTTTGTACTTTGTATTTTAAAAAATCTAGAAGATTTTAGAAATGAACATTGTTTTGCATTTGATTGAAATTGTTATTCTTGATAGATTCTTTGAAGTACATTGATGCATAGGAATAAATGAGAGTAGGGTGTTATAATAAACAAATAAATCAAAGTAGGTGTCGTTTCGATTGTAATTTGTTGTTTTCGAAGATGTTAAAATTATATTCTTAAATGTTGAATTTTTAGGATATGATCTCATGATCGAGTTTTGTGAGATTTATCTCGTAAGCTAAATGCAAAAAGTAGCAACACATTTTCATTTATTTGGTTATTATAGTTTTCTAATTTCATTTCTTTTGTTGTACTTTCATTTTTTTTCTTTCTTAAAGGCATACTACCTCAAAAAATGTATCCAATTATAGCATTGTTCTTTCAACTTTTTTCCATATTAGGACATATTAAAATTATTTTACCCAATTATAGTAATGGTTATTTTGGAATAATGCTACAAATATGATATGATAGGTTGGACACATCATTCACTCCTTAATGATAGAGGTTGGAAGTTTATAAGAGTTTTTTTTTTTTCGTCTTCATAGATAGCAGCATCAATCGATGATGAAGGTATGCATGATATTTACTGACAAGTCTCTGTGTTAAGCTGTTAGTTAGTGAAGGTAGGTTAATTTTGTATGAAAAGGGGACAAAAGTATGAGTTGTTAGTTTATTAGTGCAGTAAACACACATGATAACTTTTAGGAGGGCTATGTACATCAATTTAATAATCTACCATCTTTCATGAAGTTTAAAACTTAAGTTAGTCAACTAATTAAGATGACATAAGGTTAAGTTGTAGTTGTAGTGCAGCAAGGGTTCCTTTGTTACATGGGAAAGGTCTGGACCAGACAAGCTTTGTCTATATAAGTTAATAAAGAGGATGACTCTGAAAGGGCATTCATGTCTTTTACACAAACAATAGATTGAGAGTGAGTCACTACACTGTCCTATCTTATTCTACCTACTTTTTTGGGTGGGACAAAAAATAGCAGTTTTTGTCCTGTTGACTTGATATGGGTAAAATCAAGTGCATAATCGACAGTCTTAATTTTGCAATAATTACCATGATGAGATTAATCTTTTAGTCAAGATTTTTACAACACTGATTGTAGCAATTTTCAGCCTGAAGATATGGTAACTAATTGCCTTTTGACTTTTTTTTTTTTTTTTTGCTTATGCAGCTTTACAAATACCAAATTTGAATTTAAGCATTACAAGTTTTTTGCAATAATGGGTAGAAATTGGTACGCATGTTGCTATTATTAAAGTACATTGCCCATATTGTTAAAAAAAGGAATAGCACATTGCTATTTCTAGCAGTTTTCTTATTTTAGAACTTAAGTTAGTAAGCCAAAACTTGCAACTGAAACATATTATGCAGACTTGAGAAGTATAGGATATATTTTGTCATTTCATGGAGTATATTCAAGGTCTCATTGTACTATGGAGTGAATGAAATCTATAACAATCTTAGTCAAGGTTTCATTGCCAATTAATCATTGTACTATGCAAAACAAATATTAATGCATGATGCTAATTTGAGCTTTTGTAAACTTTATAAACTTTTTGTATCCAAATGCCTAACTAAAATCTTGGTATAATTTCAGCTATTGATTTGTTTATCATAGCATCCTACTCTTAATTATCATCAGCAACAAGTCAACAAGAAATAAATCATATTGCCCATATCGGTAGCAAAATGTAAGTACAAAGTTGTTATGCATGAAAATATAAATTCATACAAGTATATTGCTATTCTATGCAAAATAAATAAAGTAGGATGCTAATAATGTGTTATCAGAGTTTGGATTAAATGAGCTATTAGATTTATAATAAAAGTTAGAGCATGTATTTGAGAAGCCTAAATGTACCAAAAGTTTAACTGATAAAACTAATAATAACATGATTGCAATCTCGTATTTGAATAGAAATGGAGCACGTCATTAATTATGAATTTTTGATTTTGTTTTTTGCTTTGTTGTAAGGACTAAAATTCGAGCAAGGATAGTTGATGTGGCTGATTGTTGAAACAAGATAAAAAGAGGAAGCTGAAAGTGATAATGCTCTGATCTTGAAGGACTGAATCTGGAAGTTTACGAAACTGTATAATGTGAAAGTTAAAAAAGACTTGTTTTAATGAAATGAGATTCCTTAAAGACTATACAAACATTACCTTTCTAATTACCAACAAAACATGTATATTCCCATTCCTTTATAACAGGACCATATATTTCTTGATTTGTAACGGTTGAGTTTGTGATAAAAAGTTTTCATCCTTCATATATAATTAAGATGTATCATTTTATAAAATTGTCATTAACACATGAACAAATACTTGAAAAGACTTGCAATTAATGATCATTCCGTTAATCTCCAACATAATAGAGAACATCACATACAAGAATTCAATCTAAAAAAACTTCATCTCCATTTCCAACTTATCCAGGAACTAGTCAAATGACTACAAAACTGGAAAGTTCAAATGGATACAAAACTGAATGTAGGAAAAATCAGACTCCTTAAATATCATTAAGGCTAGACACTTGATCAATTAAAATGGTAAAAAGAAATAGAAACCAAACCATAAATACTACTAATTTAACATGGTCCAAAGCAGCCAAAAAACAAACTGAACCAAAATGTCATACACGTCATGCTAACAAGAGAGAATCCAGATATAATGCTAGACATGAATGTAAGAAATAAATCAACATCTATAGTAGTTATATTATAACAACAATAGATAGAAGTGGATTTGATTGATGTTATGCACTTATGCCATCGGAGTCCGTTACGCCATGACCAACAATGTACAATCCTTGCTACAAGGTGTGGCTTCTTTTGGATTCCTAATATTACCTTGTTTTTAAAATGGATTTTTGTTACATATTATTAAGTGTTGTGAAAATATCAAAAGGATTATTGTTTACAAGAATTGAAGGATTTGAGGTCAATAGATAAAACATATTTAATTTTTTGTATATTGTTTTTCTTGTTATATATTTTGCAACAAGGATGATTTATTTTAATGAGAAAATGTGAACAATATGAGAAAGCTTTAATTTACTTATAGACAAATGTATCCAGATTACAATTTTCATTAAGGGATCATATTGACAAATTAATAGAAAGTAAAAACAGGTCAAATAAGCTATAAATTAGTCCAAAAAAAAAACTAAAATATCTTTAAATATTTATAAATTATAACTTTTGTTCACCCAATATCTTAAAATGAATAGGAGTCGTCTGGTAGGTTTGGTGCCTGATAGGATTTCATCATCTTCACCTTGAGGTGGTAAAACTAAAAAGAGGAACAGTCAAAATTAGGGCTTTTACAACCAAATACTTTAACTATCGTCTGATTGAATCAATGCCATCGCCTCCCACATCGGTGGTTTGTACGCTATCCTTTGAGTTTATATTGCTTGGCCTTCGAGTATAGTTCGTCCCTTCGGGGACATCCGATAAAATTCGAACGATTCCAAATTTTTTTTTTCTCTAATTTGCTCGATCGATTGCTCTTCAAATTCCTTTATGTCTGGATTTTGAGTTGATTTTTGACTCACCAACTTCAAAGAAATACCGCTAATGGAAATCCGCTTCAACTTCGTGCCATTGTTTGCCCTATCTCGCTAAAACGGCTTCCAAATTTTTTGTTTAGGGAATTGTTTCTCCGATTCACAAGCTACGGCAAGGTACTTTTAATGACTTCCGATATAAACTGTTAGTTATTTCTAGTTTTTATGCAGTTTGTGATGCGTATGTATATGATTCACATATAGATGGAAATGTGCTCCTTAACATCCTTGAATAGTTTGGTCGAATCAATTAATAATCAGGCATAAGTTTATGATACAAGTTTGGTTTTTAGATGCTGAGATTCGGACTTTTCATGTTTATCTGATTGTATTCGTTAGTTTCTGTTGGTTGTCTTTCTTCTAATTGGGGCAACTTCTGGATTTATCATGTCTTCAATAGCAGTTAACAATCAAACAGTATCTATACTTGCTTACTCTATCATACTTTAGTCATTTTTTTTAGTAGTTTAGAAATTGTAATGTTTACGTTGCAATAACACTACAAGTATACTTCTGCAAAATTTTGAATAGAAGGAAAGAAAAAAATGCAACTCATAAGCTTTGATACATGATTAAGCTCCATCACTTTGCACTTGGGTACTTTTTTTTCCCTTTCTTTTTTGACTTGAGAAGACTTAACCTGATAAGCTATATATAGGTGTTTCTTTTTAACATGATGCATAAAGAACGACCTAATTGAGAAAAAGTTCAAGTTCTAAGTTTTTGGTTATACCCTGCAGTTTATCATCTCTTATACAAGCAAAAGATAGATAAAACTATCACCTTAATTTCTCATTTTTCTATCAATCACATACTATTACTTACACCATCAAAATCATATAAATTACATTATTTTAGTCCTTTTTAAGTCAAGTTAGTTAAAGTTAACATCACAATGGTTACGGATGATTTATATGAGTTAATTTTGATTTCAACTTGTAATATGCTGTTGAAGTTCTCCTAATTCGTCCCTTTTGTTCTAAATGCAGAAATCCATAAATGAGGGCAACTTTGTAAACAACTAGGGCTCTGTTTGAAAAGGTTCATCACCATGCCATTCTCTATTAATTAAAAAAGAAAAAGAGATAGCACCATGTACTTTCATCATCTTATCGATTTAGTTACCAAACTATGATTTCTTATTGTTTTAGTCACTGAACTATTATTATATTAATCATGAAAAAGTATTAGTAAAATGGTGAAATTACTTAGTGAAAGTACAAGTTCTTTTATATGTATTTTGGGGGTATTTTGACATGTTTGACCAATTTCATTTTCTGCCAAGTTTTTCATTTTGACCCGTTTGTGATGTATTTTAAGTCTGATTTGCTGGACAAGCTTTCCAGCGCTTTATTTGACGAGGAGGGCATTCATGTCTTTTTCACCTTTTTTGGATGGAACAAAAAAAATGCAACTTTTGTCCAATTGACATCAGTCCCGGTTCCGGTCCCACCAAATGCAATATGGTGTATTTCGTCATCTCTTTTTCATGCATAACAAAGCATATAGTCGAGGAAGACAATTACAATTTTTTTTTTCTTTCATTTCTTTATGTTATGACATTGTAGTTTCAATATATTTCTTTATTAAGACATTGTACTATAGAAAATATAACCATTTATGGCATTGTACTTTCAGTGTTTTTTTTTTCCTTGTTAGGAGGTTGGACTTTGAAAAATCTAACATTATAGTAATGAAAATTGTTTTGTATTTGGGAACATTGCTGTAGTTGAATAGGTTTGCTAAAGTATGATGTTGACATGAAGGAAGCGAAAGTAGGAAGGTGTAATAAACAAATAAATGGAAAAACTTATTATATGATAATAATTTACTGTTTTTGAACTTGTTAAAACTATATTTTTTTGGCTACAATGTCGTGTGATCATTAAGATGCAAGATTACCTTTTAGGCTAAATGCAAAACTAGCAACATACTTTCATCAATTTGTTTATTTAGCTTTACCAATCTTATTGCTTTCTACTCTAAGATTGGGTAGATTTTTCAAAGTACAATGCGTGATATGAAGAAATAGAAATATGATGCTATGATAAACAAATAAAATAATGCAAGTTGCTACTTCTTACGTTCAACCCTTAACTTTTCAATTCTTGCATTCTAGTATTTCTGCATTTGTAACTTTACAGGATAATTTGTTGTTACAAAATTTTGGTTTGGTTATATTTGGGGTTTGAACCCTTCTTTAAGGTATTTTGATTTTGAATAAAAAGAGAAAAGTTCAACCTATGTTTAAACCAATTAAACTATTAATGCATATTTTTTGGCCGAAATAGAAATCATATAATGAACCAACGAAGGCTGCTTTCCAACCTGAGCCAAACTATGCATACTTGATACTCCTATTATAAATTGTGATTTCTTTTATTCATTAAACTATTGAGTATACATTATTGTGCATATTGTTGTTCGTGTGTCCTATGTACAATAACTCAACACAAGTAAGCATTTGTTTTAAGGTGTGGGTAAATTTGATCAATTTATATATGGATTTTTTTTATTATATAGACGAAACATTTGAGGATATAAAAAGATTAAATGGGTTAGATAGGGTGAACAAATCTAATATCATCTAAATTAAAAAAATATGCTTGACAAGCTTATAATCTTATGTATAGGTTTGTTCAAAAAAAATATAATTATTTAAATAAATAGTTTTGTAGTAATAAACTTTATAAGTAAACAAATTATTTCGATCATTTGTTCCAAATATGTAACATCCCGATTCGATTTCTAGGTATGAAATTCTAGGGATTTCATGCATTTTATAAAGCCTACTCGACGAGTTGGAAGGCCCCAACTCGTCGTGTGGAAACTAAGAAGGCCGTGTATTTTATAAGACCTATTCGACGAGTTGGAAGGCCCCAACTCGACGAGTTTGTGGCTGATTATGAAACCCTAATTTTTAGGGTTTTGCACCCTATTTAAAAACCTTAAGTCTCATTGTTGGCCTCCATTATCACCGCCTTTGTCCAGTGAAACCCTAATTCGTGCCTCATCTCTCATTTTGAGTGTGTGTGAGAGTTTGGAGTGTGATTTTTGGTGCTCTTTTGGAAGGAACTTGAAGCTTGAAGAGGATTGATTGAGAGGAAGGCTTTAGATCCGGGATTTTCACTATCGTTGCAGCCATATTGAGGTATAAAGTCGATACCTTGATCATTCATTTGCTAGATCTCTTCATTTGAGAGTTTATTGATATTATTAGCTTATTTGGGACCATTCTTGGATTTAAGCATGTTATGAAGCTATAACTTCAGATCTGGACACCTCATGGCCTCCAAAGACTTAAAGTTGCCAACATTATCAAGTCTTAGCCCTCCTTCATGCTCTAAGTCCCTTAATAAGCTTTGCTTGAGTATTTTAGCCCCTTAATGCCATGAATGGATGTAAAGTTAGCAACTTTACGTGGTATCTTAACACTAGGGGACCAGATCTATGGTTTGAGGCATTAGATGCACTTGGGAAATGACCGAATGTGCTAAGACTAGGAAAACTCGACGAGTTGCCTAGCCAACTCGGCGAGTTAGATCGGGGTTTCCTCGACCTTCTGGATACTAAGCAAACTCGGCGAGTTGGCTAGGGTTTTCTCGGTTTTCTGAAAAACTGAAGGAACTCGACGAGTCAGTAGATGCA